GTGCAGGGGACAACTTGCCCAAAGCCACTCAGCCAGGGAGAGTCAGCGTTGAGACTTGAGCCCGCATCGGCCTCACAACCAGGCCACCACGAAGCCCTTTTCCTAGAGGTCTGTCACTACATTTAAAGAATCTGGGGATAAGGGGTTCTGAACAAATATTCTAATTTATATGGATTTGCTATTTTAAAATGACATGGATGATTCACTTTCCAAAAGTAAAATACGCTTACGGTTAAGATTATGCCAAACCATGTGTTATGTCTGATGATTCAGAAGGTATCTCAGGACTTTTTCAGCACCTAGAGAATATTAATTAGCAGTATAATGATATAGATAGATATTCAGTCATTCTAGCCAAGAGATGGCCCAGATGTTAATTTTTTTTTTTTTTTTTTTTTTTTTTTTTTTTTTACTGTAGGAGCCCAATTTAATCTCTAGATTGTTTTGTGCTTTTAAACTTAAGCCAAACAGAATAACTGCCCACAGGTTCAGTCATTCATTCCCAAGAATACATTCAATGAAATTGACACAGCGTTATTTTAAGTTTTTTCCAAAGCATTTATTTTTGCACTCTTCTGTGTGTAATTATAATATTTGCAAAAGCAGCAGACATTTCACTGTCTATATTCAACAGAAAATTTGCTATTTATGTACATGGACGTGGCATTGAACTTCAAGGATGGGATGTAGAATACTATGGAATTTTGGCATTGGGTGGACCTCACAGATCTAGTTCCCTGTTTCTGGTTTGTGAATTCTCTTTACCTTTGCTTCAACAGCTCAGTTGAAGGTACTTTCTATTATCAGAGTAGACATGCTGACCCAGGAGTGCTCTAATTGCTAGAAAGTTTTTCCTTATACTGATTAAAATAAGCCCTGGAACCTACAACCTAGTGATCTTCACTCCTTTTGCAGAGTTGCAGAGAAAAAGACCTCTGGTGTTTGTTCTCTTGATTCTCAAAAGAAATTCTCAAAAGAATAAAAACACTCAAATGAAAAAAAAAATGTTCATAAAGGAATGCCTGGATGTATTGACAACAAAAACAACAAAATTAAAGAAGGGAAAGCATTAAAATTAAATTAAAAGGAAGGAGAGGGAAAATTAAAATAACAAAACAAAAAAAAAACTACAACTTGCCCAGTGCACAGTGGGTTGCATTCTTTAACTGACTTAATTTTATTAGCTACTGTCCATCTATCTGAGAAGTTGAGCAGAACAGTGATTGAACTAGATCTGGACAGAGACAGCAGGTTATCAGAAAGGCACAAAGACATACCGTTCCTTTCCTGGAAACATCCAAGGGTTTAGCATCCTTTTATTAAATAAGATGTAGGACAACAATTATAAACGGCAGTTCCTCGACAATCACGTTCCCAAACAGAACGATAATACACACATCAGTCATGCTAACAGAAGCAAAAGAGATCACCAACCAGTGTACCTTTCATGGTCTCCCACAGGAAAAAAAAAAATTCTGAGCTCCTGCCTGCAAAAGCTGTTTTGAGACATTACTCGGTGGCTTCGCAGTGCTATGGAACTATACATCTTATGAAATCAGAATCAGAAATTAGTGGCACGAACTTTGGAGCGGGGATACTGGATAAACTTTCCATTAAGAACTTTCTTATAAGAAAAAAAAAAAACACACCTAGTTTTTAGCCACTGTCAAAACAAGGGAAAAATGCCTAAAAATCTCTGGAGGACTTACTAAATGCTGTGGCTCTGGGGGTTGATCTAGCTTAATGAAAAAAGAGCTTGGTATTTCTGCTTTGCAGACATGCCCTGAAGTTCACTAGATCAAGCCATTGGTCAGGGTTGAAGAAAGAGAAATGATTGTTTATTGCTACAAATCATATGTTCCTGACTTCGCTCCCCTTTCCTCCTCACCACTGGGAAAATCATAACAATAATCAAAGCAGCCCAGCGCAGTGGCTCACACCTGTAATCTTAGTGCCCTGGGAGGCCGAGGTGGGAGGATCACTTGAGGTCAGAAGACCAGCCTGAGCAAGAGCAAGACTCTGTCTCTATTAAAAAAAAAAATACAAAAATTAGTGGGGCATGGTGGCTCGCACCTGTAATCCCAGCTACCTGGGAGGCTGAGGCAGGAGGGTCCCTTGAGCCCAGGTGTTGGAGGTTGCCGTGAGCTGTGATGATACCACTGCACTCTAGGCCAGGCGACAGAACAAGACCATGCCTCAAAAAATAAAAAATAAAAAAAGTTTTTTTTGAGACAGAGTCTCACTTTGTTGCCCAGGCTAGAGTGAGTGCCGTGGTGTCAGCCTAGCCCACAGCAACCTCAAACTCCTGGGCTCAAGTGATCCTCCTGCCTCAGCCTCCCGAGTAGCTGGGACTACAGGCATGTGCCACCATGCCTGGCTAATTTTTTCTATATATGTATTAGTTGGCCAATTAATTTCTTTCTATTTATAGTAGAGACGGGGTCTCGCTCTTGCTCAGGCTGGTTTAGAACTCCTGACCTGGAGCGATCCGCCCGCCTCGGCCTCCCAGAGTGCTAGGATTACAGGCGTGAGCCACCGCACCCGGCCAAAATAAAAAAAAAAATTTTTTAAATCCTCTCCTTACCCCAAAGCAAATGATAAAGTGTAATAAAGCTATGGAGACAGGTACACTTCACATTCTTTTATTTAAAAAAAGAAAAAAGAGTATGGGCCACCTTTAGCTCAGTCCAGATATCACCTAGTTCAGGTGCCTCAACTTGCTGGACCATAGAATCAATCACCTAAGGCACTTGTTAAGGATTCCTAAACTCTTGCCTTTCATGCTTCTGTCGCCCCAGGTGTCTTTCAATTGAGACATACCATACATTTATAAAAGGGAAAAATATATTAATCTAATAAAAGGATTTAAGTTCCCTGGATTTTCTGAATAACTCTAGCAGGTGTTTGAGTGGCAGTATTTACACCAACCAGTCCTGAAGCAGTGAACTCAAAAATCTCAATTCTTTACTAAAATCATCTCCCAGAACATCTCTCTCCCTCCCCCACCTTTTGTCTTTTAATCTAAGACCCTTGCTTTTCTTTGCTGTAGTGCATGAGTCCACAGAACGCACAGACTGGATGCCCTTTATTTAAAAAAGCTTTACTGAATCCATCAGCTTCCAAAAGAGAGAACCTTTTTCCCCAACCTCTCTAAAGATATAACGTTATATCTTAATAAAAAGGACTGTTTCCCCAAAAGGAAGTGATCAAGTCACTCGCGTTTATTTGCAACTCCAATGAGGATTAACAGAAATAAACCCAAATGCTTTGAAAGCTCACGACCTCACTGGTGAATTAATGATAGGATATTCAGGGGACATTCAAAGCAACATAAACGACGTAAACCACTTATAAGACCAGTCAAAAAAACAACTGGGAAATATATGCAGGTAGGAGGGAGATTTTTGGAAACTGAGCAAGTTTTGCGACCATCACTGATCTCCACTAACATCTGTAAACCGCATGGTTTTGTCCCCACCCCTAGAGCACGCAAGCTGATCTATGTACTCCTGGCAGACAGGACAGGAGGAAGGGCGTCCAGGTGTTATAAGAAAACCATTCGCGAGGAGGACGTGGACCCGCGCCAGGCCACAGCCGACCTGATGGAAAACTGAAATCCAGGAAGACCCAGCCCAGGGAGCCCCGGGTTCCTCCTGAACTCACGCAGCGGGGAGGTGGGGGGCTGGGGGGAAGGCTTCCCAGGGACAGGTGCGGGGACACGGGGACACGGTTCCCCTGCCCGCAGCCGGGTAGATGACGCCAGGAGAGCCCCCCCAAGTACCCGGGCGCGACGGGCTAGACGGGGGTGGCGCGTGCACCCGCGGGCGCGGGCTGGAGCGGCTCACCGGCCGTGCGCCCCCCGCCCAGCCACGGCCGCCGGGAGCTTCGGGTCCCCAGATGCAAAAAGGGGGCCCCCCAGCTCCTAAGCGGCCTGCGTGGAGAAGAGACGAGGAGGCGGCGTCAATACATAAGTAAACGGAAGGTGGGGGTGGCTGTGCCGCAGACGCGGCTACGGCGACAAATTGCTGCAACGGAGGCGCAAGAGCTGGGGCGCGGGAAATGCAAACTTTCTCAGGTCGCCGAACCAGCTCGAGCCTCTAAGGGGACCGCGGAGACCTTTGTCCGCGCTCGGCCCCGCCCGCCGCCCGCGGTCCGCGCCACCTTTCCCGCGGCGGGCGCGGGGCCGGGCGCGCGGCGGGGAAGGCGGGAGCGCGGGCGCACCGGCGGGCCGCGGCCCAACGGCTGTGCTCGCGGCGCGGGCCCGAGCGCCGCAGCCTCCCCGCGCTGTCGTCGTCGCGGTCGTCGCGGCGGCCGGCGCGCTCGCCCGGGGGGCTCACCCTCGCGCGGGCAGGGGCGCGGCGTGCGGACCCAGCCTCGCAGCGGCGCGCGGCCGGCACCCCCTTCGCGGGCCCCGCAGGTGGAGGCGCCCGGCGACAGCGCCCCCCGCTCCGCAGTCACCTCCCGCCGCGCGCCGCGCGCCAGCCCGCGCGGGCGCAACTTTCTTAAAGGGACAGGTGGCCCCGATCCATGTCCACCTGGGACCTGGTGTCTGCCTCCTGGCCCGTTCCCACTTTGGGGAAGAGCTGAGGTTGCGACAGCTCTCTCCGCCCGCCCGCCTCCTTTGCCCCCGGCCGGTGACGGACTGCACGTTTCAATGCACCCAGCATCCTTTTGCAACTTAATTCTTTTGGCCTGAATCGCCCTCCCACTGCTCCTCAACGCATGCTCGCGGGCATGCAGTCGCTGCCACTGTTGGCAAAGTTGGAAGAGGGGTGTCCCTACCCCGTGCCCCCCGCACCTCCCCCTACACAACCCCCCCCATCCCCGGGCCGCGCAAGGCTCGCTGCTGCTGGGATACGCCCGCTGCAATCCCCTTGACCCTGCCCTGTAACTGACCCTTGGGGAAAAGCCCCCCGCACGGCTACTGCGCATGCTCTGAGCTGGACAGCTCCAGAGAGGGAAATTTAAAAACGATTGGAGCTGCGACGGCGGCCAAATTGCTGAAGGCGAGGGGCGAGCGCCAGGGAGCCCCCCTCCGGAACCCCCGCCCGCCCCCGGAGCGCCGGCGGCGGCGGCCCCTCGAGGACCGGCTCCAGGTACCGCCTTGCAGCGTGGGCTCCGCTCCCTCCTCCCGGGCGCCCTGCGTTGCTCTTCCAGGGTGCAGCCCCGGGCGCAGCAGCTGCCAGGCACCTCCCTCTGCTCCCCTTTTCCCCTTCCCCGGGATGCCTCAAGGACTTTGGGGACGGAACTGAGAGTCTTTGATGGGTTTACTGTGTTAGTTTCAGTTTGAAAAACTTAGAGGACACAAAGTGATTTTTGGTTTTGGTTTTTTTAAGGCTGCGTTTGTGTGTGGCAGGGGCTGGGGCGAGGGGTGCATTGGTTTCCCGGCACGGGCTTCCGGCATTTCTGAAGGCATTTCCAGGGCGGGAGGCTTTTGGGGGTGATTATTCCCTTTGCAAGTGGGAACTTGTTTCCCCCTGAGAAGCATACACGACACATCAGCTGCCCTTTTTTGGTTTGTGTTTTGCTTTCAAAGTGGTCATGACTGAACCAAGATTGAAAATATAAGGCTTGGAAGGGAATACGGTTTTTCTGATTCCTATTGTGTGAGTCCACATTTTCCAAGGCTTGACATTTGGATTCTAGAGCCTTCCTTCTGCCCTTCCCCCATTCATTTGAAAGAACCTGGAATTTCATTCCATTCTCTTCATTTGCTTCTAAAACCCTGTCGAATTGCCCTGGGAAAGTGACCTGAGATGTCTAGGAACCCTCTAGTACCTTTTTTTTTTTTTCTTTAAAGAAAAAAGTATTCTGTTAGTTGTTTGGGCTCCAACCTTCTGAATTGTGGGAAAACTGTGGGTCTCTGCCCTGTCCACATCATGGCTGATGGGAGCTTTGTTTTCTGCCTGTCTTTTCCCCAAGGAGATGATAGAAAGTGACATCTCATCCATGATGTCAGGAATTCTTCGAAACTCGGGGCAGAATCACCACCCCTCTCCCCAGGAATACAGGTGAGGGCTTCAACAATCGCAAACCGAATTTTTTGGGGGGTTACTCAAAGTGTTTACGTGCTGTCGTTGGAAATGAAAGTGTCCAAGAACTATTCTGTGATTTTGCAGGAGAGCTAGCATGGCTTGATTTCAAAGTTGGTCTCTCTAAGAGTGTCTGGGCTTGTGGCGTAGCCCAGTGGGACCACTTAAATGCCTGGAAGGGACCAGTCCCCTCCTGGGTTGGCTACTACTTGAGAATCCTGGCGAATGTTAAGGTGACAACAGCAGCTATTGCTTCCTCTCCAGTGGCCTTAATGGGGTCTCTAGGAAATGCAACTCCCCCGCCCCCCCAAAGCTTTCTGGGAGAAACTGGCTCCCATGCTGGGATGCTGGGAAAGTTGTGGCTCAGAACTCCTGGGTTCCTCACCCGGCTGTGTGACTTTCAGCAAGTCCTTTGCCCTCTCTGGGCCTCATTTTCTCATCATTTAAATGATGCTGTTGAATTCGATGGTCTTAAGGTCTCTTCTAGGCTCTCATGTGTTCGAAGAGCAAATTAGATGGAAACTGAAGTCCAAATACACTATTTCTTGAAACAGGACGAAACTAGGTACAAGTGGGTCCTCAGAGCATTTCCCTCTTTTGTCTTCAAACCTCACAGCTGCAAAGACCCTTAGGGGGTCAACCAGTCCAGCCCTTTCTTTTTCACAGGTGGGGAAACTGAGGCCAATGTAGGAGGAGGGGCTTATTCAAGGTCACACAATAATGGGGAGGGAAGAGGAGGAAAAGGAAGGATCTGGAGTCCTCTCCCAGCCTCTCCCCCTTGAGGCCAGGGAGGCCTGACCTGGTTTCTAGGGCCCCACCCCCTAAAGCAAGCACCGTGTCTGTGGGCTGAGGGACACAGTCCAGATTACGGAATGGGGACAGGACCAGGGGTGGCCTGGGAAGAGCAGGCTGTCACCTCCGATCAGCCCTGTTTACCCAGGGGTTGTCTGGCCCCCCCCCAGGGTCACTGCAACTCACCAGCAGTGCCTGCTGGGACAGACCGCAGCCCCCAATTAGAGGGAGGCTGCCTTCTGAGTTCCAAATGAGGCGACAGATTCAAACAGATACTTGCAGAGAGCCTGCTGCGCGGAGAGCTGGGGCCAGGTGCACAGCAGTTTGGGGGCACCTACTGTGCGCCAGGCCCCTGTCACTCACCTCAGTTCAGGAGGCTGCTCTGATCATCCCCGTTGTCCAGTGAGGAAACTGAGGCTCAGAGCCATGAAACAGCTTTTCCCAAGATCACTCAGCCAAGGATCTGTGGGCTTCCTTCGAGCACTAACAGGTTTAAATAATGACAAGTAGGTCGGGGGGCAGTAGGAGTTAGCCTTAGGCTCTGCAGTCCATTATCATCCCAGCTTTTCTGGCTGTGGGGAGCTCTCTGGGCCTCAGTTTCCTCATCTGTAAAATGGGGATAGAAATAGTACCCACTGCATGGAGTTGTGACAGTTAAATAACCATTTCTGGCTCTGTCACTCACCAACTCCCTTTAATTTCACCTCTGAACTTCCACTGGTTTGTACGATGGGGATAATAAAAGCTACTCTGGAGGGCTGAATGAGATATTTATTATCTGTGGAAGTACCTGGCGCCCAGCAGGCACTGCATGTGCCTAGGGTGAATCTCCCTCTGCCCTCCAAGCTGGGACTCCTACCCCTGACCCCGAGGTCTGGCATCAAGAGCTCAAAGTCATGGATGCTTATTGTTGCCTAAAAGCACCAGACTCAGACAACGTGTGGGTTCAAAGTCCAGCTCTGGGCAGGGCCCATGACTCGCTGGGGTTTCCTCATCTTTACAATGGGCATGATGAGGGCTTGCCCCTCGTGTGATTGCTGGGAGGATTAAATAAATAACTTGCCGCGCAAGAGACACATAATGAATAGTTGCTTTTGCTGTTAGCACTTCGTTACATGAAAGAGTTTGGCCTTCTGCAAGAGATGCATCTAGGGAGGGGGGTGTGGAGGAACTGAGGCTGGGGGTGGGGTGGGAGGGGGGAGTGGAATCCCTTAATCCAGACGCCCAGCTGCTACCCGACAGGGGCCCCCACCAGGCTGGGGTCTTGGCCCCATGTGTCTGGGCCAGCCTGGCTCACAAACTGTCTGGGCTACTGAGCAGTTGCCTGTCTCCAAAAACAGGGCAGGGCAGCAGAGAGCTTCCTTCCTTGGGGATCAGCAGTGCTACCAGCTGGCGGGAGGTGAGCAAAGGGGGGGGGGGATATGGGGGGTGGGGAGGAGAAGCAGGCCTGTCCCCATCAGCACTGGATGCAGACGTGCCCAGTGCCTGGCCTGGCACAGCAAGGCGCGACCCTTTCTTTCCTATTCACATGGATTCAGGGCTGTCATCTTGCATCAAAAAGCCAAGGTATCCATCCAGAAGGCCAAATAACATCCTAATCATGACAATAATAATGGCAACTGGTGGTTTCTTAACCCTTCACTACCTGTTTCCCCTGTGTGAGGCTGTCAGTATAAATCCCCACCCAATCCCCCAAAACCACCCCGTGTGGGTGGCACGCTTGTGCCCATTTGGCAGATGAGGCAACCGAGGCTCCGGCAGTTTAAATGGCTTAACAAGATGGCGCAACTAGTGATGGGTCAAGCGGGGACTCGAGACACTGAAGCCGTTGTGCCCTGAGAACACTGTGACCACCAGCCCCCATGTCCCACTGGCCAAGAGCATGGGGGGCTGGGACAGAATAAGCTGCTCCATCGCCTCGCAGCTGTGTGACCCTAGAGGAGCCACTGCCTCTCTCTGAGCCTCAGTTTCTGCATCAGTGAGATGGAGCCATCCGAGAACCCAATTTGCACGTTCACTGGGAGGATTCTCTGCACCTCCAATGTGACAAGGAGTTGAGCCGGGTCTGGGACAGAGTGAGCATGGGGACACGGAGAGGGGGTGCTCATGATTATGCAGAGACTCCTCACTTCCAGCCACTCCCATATTTCTCCCTGAAGAATAGCCCAGGGGAAGTTTATGGGCTTCTCATTTGCCCTCCCACGTCTCCCTTGGAGCACTTCGGCTGCTGGCCCAGCCCCAGTGCAGCCCCCTAAGCAGCCGCCTGGTCCCCTGTCCCCTGGGGCTGAGTTTGGCCGTTACTTTTCAATGGCTGTGTGCAGGAGGGCAGGGGCAGCAGCTGGAGGTGGCCTCCTTGTCCCCGGGGAGCTGTCAGGAGTCAGTGGCGGGGGCCAGGCAGCAAACTGGCAGCAGCAGCCCCGCCTACTGCTGGCGCTGGGACAGGGGACCCGGGGCTGGGGGCGGTCCTGACCCCCACCCTGGGTAACGGCAGGCAGGGCTCACGCTTAACATGGGTTAATCAGGTTTCTCCTTAGCCCAGAAGATGGGAGGGAAGTCCACCTTACATGTACTAAAACATAGAGTTATTAAGCACCTACTGTGTGCTAGGCACCTGCTAAGCTTCTTAGCAAGTGCACCATCCCATTTCATCTCTATAGGAACCATGCAACAGGTGCTGATATCAGATTTGTAACCACCTGCCCCGATTTTTAGAACTTATTCCTGAAGTCAGGTCCAACAAGCTCCTTTTACAGATTGGGAAACTGAGGCCCAGAGAGATGAGAGAAGGCAGGCTTCTGGCTCCTTGGACCCTGACCTTTCTCCCAGGGCCATGAGGCTCAGTGGCTCTCCTTCCAGATCTTTGTGCCAGATGTTCACGTCCCCAAAGCTCAGTCCCTGCTCTAAGAAATGAGGTGGCCTTGGGAAAAACCCCTCCCCTCTCTGGACCGTGGTTCTTATCTGTGAACTGCACTGCTGGGGACGAGGTAGAAATTTCATAAATATTTATTGGCTAGAAGGACGAAGGACAAAATATCGCATGAGAGACAACACATCCATGGACACGCAGGGAGGCTCCATGTTCAAGAAACTCATGCACGCGCGCACACACGCACACCCCAGGTTGCAAACCAGCTATTGTTCTAGAAAGGAAAGATGCCTTTTCCCAAACTCCCGATCAAGTCATTTCACATTACACTCACTCTTGGGCCAGAGTTGGGAATGCCCGAGCTTGCTAAATTGCCCTTGATTTTCTTTTTCCTGTAAACGGTTACAAAAGATATTACAAAAGCTGTGTTAGCTAAATAAACACCTCCGTGGAATTCTTAATCCTTTTCTGTGTCATGGTTGGATTGCTAACAAAAACAGCTTGTGGTGATGTAACAGTTTCTCATCCACCACATCTTAAGAAGGCAGGTGAAACCTCCGTGTTGTAATTGGGGTGGCGGTGCTGTCCCAGGTAGGGCTGGACGAGCCCCAGAACTGCTAGGGTGGTGACGGAGCCGCTCAGAGACAATGTGTGCTAAGCAAAGCCCAACTAGTGACAGCGCAAGGCAAGAGGAGGGAACGCAGTGGGAAGGAAGGAAGGGACATGGTTACGTGGTTTGAGCACTTACTGTGTGTTGGGCCCTGTCTTATATGCTATCTGATCTTATCCTCACATCTGCCCGCCGTGGTGGGAATTATTAGGATTCCATTTTATATATGGGGAAACTGAGGCACAGAGAGGTCAAGTGACTTGCCCCAAATCACACAGCTACGAAGGGGTTGCGATGGGATTTGAACTAAAAAATGGATGTTCCTTCCACCATACAATTACTGTACCAACCTAAGGAGCCCCAAGATAAGGAAATCAGAGCATAAATGTAGGCTCCAGGCTTCAGCTACGTAGGCAAAGATCCCCAAAGAAACTGTCATCCGTCCATACGTATGCGTGGCCCTGTGCAGCCACCTGCCAAGTTCACCAGTTCATTTGACTTCTACAGCGACAACCCCAGGGCATTGGCTATGGGGGTCCAGTTCACCTTGAGTCAAGCGAGTCACCTTGTCAAGCAAGACAAGGAAAGGCCAAGCAGGTGGCTCTGGGTCTTGTACCGAGGTGTAAGACACGTTCACCCTGGGCCTCCAGGCGTTTGGTGTCTAGGAAGAACAGGTGCCTGAATAAAATTCATAGGTGACCTCGGGCAGTC